TATGTGGTGTAGATAAAAAAAAAAAAAAAACTAAATAATTCTAGTGGCATTAATAAGTCCCCTGTCCCCTTCCCTCTCAATGCAATAAAGACCCCTTCCATCAATACTTTTTGTACCTATAAATTCATCCCCACCCATTCCACTTCTCTTTCATGTAATTCCCTTATCTCCCTCCACAAGTCACATTTTCACAACTCAGAATCACTTAGTTTTCATCCTCAGTTTAACCAAAATTATCGCCTTGAATTCCAGCAATTGAAAAAACAAAATCCTCAGTTCTTCCCCTGTTTTTGGGCTATTTTCTTGGAATTTCCCTAAAACAAACCAATATGTCCTCCACTGCAAACGTTTGTCAAGTGTTACCAACTTGTTTGGAGCCTTCTTTAGTCGAACCACAAGTTTCGATGTTTCAATTGGCTCCTTCTAAACCCGACATATCCATTCCAAGGACTCAGATGCCAAGTCTATGTAGCGAAGAAAATTCTCATGTCTGTTTAAACAACTATCCTACTGAAAAGACCCAAAAAAAGGGTGAATTGGGTGGCTGGAATTCTATACAGTCACTCTCCAAAAGTTCTGACACTTCGGAGAACGTCTATGTGCATCCACTCGATAAGCGGGCTCCTTGTGCAATGAGCACAAAAAGTCTTGAACTGTGCACTGAGAGCTTGGGATGTGAGACTGGAAGCAAAATTAACGGAGGCATGGATGAATTTAATTCTCTTCTATCAATGGAGAGAAAAAAACCCAGTGGAATTCGACATCGAGAAATCTCCAAGAAAAAGAGTAAAACCAACAACTTTCCACCTCCATTGACTTCAATCACTGGGTCTAATGGTGTTCAAGTGAGCACTCATCGCGAAGGGGGCCGGTTAGTGATAAAGGCCGCCAATTCATCTTCTTGCAATGTTCATTTCCAAACTGAACGCGAAAATGGCAGGCTAAGGCTTTCTTTGCCCAAACAAGATTACTGGCATTTTAGCAAACACATGGAGGACGAGAATGAAGAAGAAAATGCACTTGATGAAAAGGACGACGAGGAGGAGGAGGAGGAGGAAGTCAATGCATATGAAACTGAAAACGAGTCGTATGATCGTAACAATGGCGAAGGAGAAGATGAATCTGATCTCAACGGCGGATTTTGGGGAGAAAATGGAGAGAGAATTGGGTGTAAAATTGGAAGTTCAGAGTGTAGAAGCAGCAGCAGGTGCAAGGAAGATAGCAAGAGGCTGCCAAGTTTGCATATTTGTGTGGCCATTTCCTAAAAGCTTTCTTTTGGAGCTTACAGCTTTGGAAAATGGACCCAAAAAATTAATAAGTTGTTTTATGTCTGTTCTATTTTCCAATTTCCTATTTGGCAGTTATTATGGTTGTATTGTTGACTTTCTTGCTTTGGTCTACCAATGAATTTTATAATTATGGTAATCTCATGATATTTATATTTTTGTACGTCGCATGTTCCAAGAGTTGGGGGAGAGTGGGCATTATGCTTAATAATTAGGGAAAATTTCAACGTTGGTCCTCAATCTATTGTCTAAATAACAAGTCGATTTTCGACCTTTAAAATGTATCATAAGTAATTACACAATCAATCTTTAATAATGTTTTTAAGTCTTCACGTATTCACTTCAAATTTTTTTGCACCAACTCAAGTTTGGAAACAAAACTCACTTCATGAGGTCGGATGCATGGGATTTACTTGACAAATTTACATAAATTTGGAAGGTTTTACGTCGTCATCAACTGATTTTGGAACCATAATAAAAGTTGGGAAAAGAAAACTTAAAACAGATCAATTCCCACTAAACTCATTTTTTCTCTTGCTTGATTAAGAAATTCTTCTTGCTAATAAGAATCTTTAGGTTTTAGACAGAGTTTGATGTTTTTTTGGAGTAATTCTGAAAAAGTTGAAAGATAAGCCATTCATCTTGTCACTCTACATAATTGTACGTGGGATTTTCACTTCGTACGATTTCTCGTTCAGTTCTTTTGAATTCAGTGGATCAATTTTCACATTCAAGAATTCAAAACTTACTACTCAAGCAATAAATTGAGGACGAGCTTAATAATTTTCTTGATTAATTAAGGAACAAGAGTTTGGAAGTTGAGAATGATGTCACAAACAAATAACCAACTGCTCACACTGATAAAAGTGGGAATACAAACAACTTCATCAATGAATTCTTCAATTGTCTCATCACTTTCATGGGTCACGTTCCTTACACCCATTGCCCAATCAAACCCTTTCAATTTTTTCATCAACGTGCATATTAAATCACATTTATTGGTCATTTTAATCATTGATATCGTACATTTATCAATACCTTGACTTTTCACATTAGGCCTTATTTGAGCCTCATTAAAATGAAAAATACGATGGTTATTTATCACATCAAGCCACCAAATTTGACTTTTTATCTTTTGTGTGGAGTCTATAATGACTATATTTTTCATTCTCATTTTTACAATAATATGGCTCAAATGGGGGGCTAAACTCAACAATAAATCATACATTATCACAAAATCATATGGTCGACCTAAATAAATTTTACAACAAAAACATTAAATATAATCCCTATAAGAGTTAATCTTAATGGGACCAACATAACATTGCGGTTATCAAGACGGTCGAAAAAATCTCAATGTGTATTTTTTTGAGTATAACGTGCCAATGATTAAATTATATGACTTAAATTGGAAAAAGTTTATGCCAGTTAGGTTTAGCGTACGTAGGCCTAAAGATTGTAACCATTTTATTTGGTCTGCCAAAGCACCATAAACTTACATCAAAGACATCTCCATGTGATATGCTTGCCTCTTTGAAGTTTCTTTCCTGTCTTAACCCTTTCAAAGGCTCCACATGTCTGTCAACAATAGTTATATGTCACTAAATCAATTTTGATGAGTTGAGGCCGTTGATTCTAGATATTCTTATCTAAGTCAACGTGCAACCTATAAATAAGTTTTATGAGTTGACGGGAACTAATGCTCACTTCGATTGTTCAAAAATTTCCCTTTTTCTTTACAAATGATCGACCCATATTATTCTCTTGGTCCAATCTATAAGAACATCGTTTGTCAGATGAGACTTGTAAGTAGACACGAACCTTTTCCTCATTATTATTATTATTTTTTTTTCTCATTTTGCATAATCACAACTTGGAATCACCAAAATGACCTTAGACCAGTGGACAAATTCCAGCCATGCAAACGTTGTACAAGATTAAGGTGTGGAGTGGTCCTAAGATATAGAGGGTGGGGTGTCCTAGGTATGATAGATCTTTGGTGTTTTGGAAATTTAGTGGCATGTGGATCAGGTAGGCGTGGAGTTAGGTCTTCCACTCGATAAACAACATGTACAAACATCATTAAGTTTATATATATGCATCGTATGATTTTTCTTCAAAACCCCACTTTTATCCCAAATTTGGATCCTTTGGAGCATTCAATTCGAGCATGTGAATACATTAATTCTAACAAGTACAAACAGATGCTATGCAGATATTTTGCTACGATTGTTTGTCAACTTCAACGCACTAAGAATACCTTAAAGGATTCAAAAATGAAGCTATCTATGGTAGCTAAATTCAATTAACCGTGCCATCGTCTCTTGTCCATTCTGTACTTCCAAGAATGTTAATGGGGGAAATATTTTAGTGAGACAAAATTTATAGACTTCTATTTGCAAAATATGATTGATTAATGGCAAAAGAAAAAAAGTCTCATATTCATTGGATCTAATTTGTTGTCCTATTAATGTTGGTGTCATTTTCATGGCATCCGAACATTTAATTGTATTAGGACAAGTTTTTTTCCAATTATAACTGCATTCATGAAAAGAATTAAAAGGTAACATTGCCTATTGAATCTATAAGTGGCATCTATATCATTTATCATTTATTTTTGTATGTTCGTCCTTGCAAGCGCTAGCTATAATTATACCACAATGTATAATCGTAACAAAGAAAAGGGTACCTTCTGGCTTTCTTTTCTATATCAGATAGTTCCAATTGAAAGAGAAAATCTTTAGACAGGAGAATTAGGAATCATTGGTCATCAGACTCTTGAAAATGAGTACCGTGTCATCCCGATGAAGGTTAGACGAGCTAAAAGATATGTGTACTCAATTAATTTGGAAAAAAATCACATTAGTAAAAGTCAGCCAACATTTCAAATTCTCGAAAATAATTTCATATTAAATGGAAAAAAATGGACAACTAATTGGAAGGTTAAATTTTTTCTCTTTGGATCCCTTTGGTTTAATAAAGTTTTGGGAAATGCATGCGTTCGAGATAATATTCTCATATTAAATGGCCCTTTTTTCTTTTTGGCTTCTTCTTGCCACTTTTAATTTAACTTTTCTCTAATCTTCAAACTAAGAGAATATTTAGTTAAGCCTAAAAAATAAGTTACTTAAAAAGTAACTCCTAAACTTAGTCAAACAAGTTTGGCTTTTTTTTTTCTCAATAAAAAGTTATTATTTTTATTTAAGTACAAAATGTTAAGTAATTTTACTTCTATTTAAGGCTTAGTGTCTTTAAAATTATGGATTTTTGAAAAATTGAAAACTAAATTATCCACGCCATGCAATTTTTTTATTTTTTATTTATTTTTGTACACGGAATTTTTACTCTATTTAAGGCTTAGTGTCTCTAAAATTATGGATTTTTTTTTTAAATTGAAAACTAAATTATCCACGGCCATGCAATTTTATTTATTTATTTATTTATTATTATTATTATTATTATTATTATTATTATTATTATTATTATTATTATTATTATTATTATTATTATTATTTTGTACATGGAATTTTTGGTACCAAATTATTGAAGATAAAATTTAAGTGAATAATCATTCAATCTCTACTTATATAAATGTTTATACGAGGTACTTGAATTAGTAAAGAACATGTAATGGCTGTTTTAATATTTGAGTCAGTGCCACCCGTTATGAAAATTTCACCTATCTGAAGAAGAATTCGACTTGTGGAAACACCATTTTTAAGTATATTGGAGACTTTTCCAATTCACCCAAATTAATTGTAATGGCCCACATCATTAAATATTACATTTATTTTAAACCCAAATCAAATTCAATTAATTCCAACAATATATACATTGTTTTATGGATCCATTGACCATTATCCAATTACCAAAATTGTAGAATCGGTAATTTCATTTGCATGTATGTCGATATTCTCTTGGACACCTTTTTTTGGACCATCTTGTCTTTATGTGGATAATATGTCATTAGCACTTGAAAACTACACCATTTAGACATATTTTACATAATACGTGCATCCAAACGTGTGGAAATGTTTTATGGATGCATTGTTATTGTCTAGGTTGTTTTGTATGGATGGATCTCCACAATAATTTGAAGTTGTTTATCAATCTTGAAAAGGAAGTATGTGGGTCTCAACCTTTCCTTTACAAATTTGAGGCAAGATAATTTTTCATTGGTGTCACGTACGCAACTACCATGAGAATTTTATTGGGTCTACCCGTTGACCTTCTCTAATAATACACTCAATCAATCTTCAATGAATATATCAATCCTTAAATCGTGCCTAAATTCGATTTCAGGTTTCTGTATAATCATGAGTTCATATGTGAGTTACAATTTGCTCTTTCTCTATCACTAGGTTCGTCCGTTCGACACTACTATTAGTTTGATACTGATATCTACAATCGATTTGTTCATTTCAAAATGCCAATGACAAACTTACTACTTAAAAATAGATTAGCGATCAACAATACAATTTTGAAACAGGAGACCATGATCGACAACCATGATCACGTTTTGACAGATCTTGAGACATCGGGATCGGTCTCCCAATTTACGCGCATCACTAAAAACCTAGCGGATGTGGTAGAAAAAGTTGGTGGTCGGCCTCCACTTGCCACGGCGGCAATTGAGTCCTATTACAAATCTTGTGGTGGCCGGTCACTTATCCTACGTGTCTAACTTAATTATTCTCCACATCTATTTAAATGGTCCCTCTCAAAAATGCATCAATTCTAGTTTTTGGATAAACGCAATATATTTGTGTCATCAATCTAATCCATTTTCTTTCCTTTTCTTACTAATTCCACAAGACAATTTCTTGATGTCATACGCGAAATTTTTTTTTTTCCTTTTTCCTTGCAGACGTTTTGGTACCATATATTTGTATTGGAATCGTATAATTTTTTGCGAACACTTGACAAGAAGCGAATGAATATATGTATAAAAATGAGAGCGGAAGAAAAGAAATAAGCCATAAATATATGGCCCATGAAATAATTGCTTTAAAGCAAAGCCACCAAAGTTTTTGATGCTTATCTATAGCATTAGATTCTTGATTCATGGTGGTTTTCCATCGAGGAGAGTGCTTATTTCTTGGGTTGTCTTAGCATTTTTTAGAGAACAAAAATGCATGGATTATCTCATCTATCGAGTCAATATGTTAAATTGAGTGAATCAATGAAACCCTAAAATTCAAACCTTTCATCAATTGAAAGGGCGAGAGATTCAATAAAAATTATAAGAAACACTAATTTGTGGCATATGCTATAGTCTATATTTCTAGTGTTGGGTATTTTGCAAGACAAATTTCAATTACTAATATTCTTGCTTATTTGGCTGCCTCCTGACAAAGAATCAATTTAGGATATGAATCCTTCTACAAACATTTGGATTTTGAAAATCTATTCTATGCTGTCGGGAAAAAGGAGAATTGTCTCCTAGTAATTATTCAAATTGTAATTGGAATGATCGTCGAAATATATTAGATAAAATGAAAGAGAGGAAAATTAAAATTAGTGTAGCTTAGTATGGTTGTTTGATGTAGTAATAAATTGAAAGAATTCATGATTCAAACTCTTATTTGTTTATTCTCTAAACTATACTCTTTGTAGCGCTATTGGATACATGAAATGTGTTAGGCTAGGAGCAAAGATAAATTTCAAATTCGACATAAATGGGACATTTATAATTTATAAAGGAATTGAGTTACTCTTTCCAAGGAGTTAACATTTCATAACAAAGCCTCAAATAGCATTAAGCTAAGTGACATTAAAGTCACGCTCCAAACATTATCATGTGCATGCACAAGATTTAATAACAAAGGTAGCGATCATTGAGTGGTACCACGATAGCCAAGAAAGAAATATTGGTTAGCCCTCAAATCCCATTGATATTATAAGATTTAACATGTTCTTCCAATGTATCATTTTTGCGTCTAGCCTGAAATGGTCAAGAAATATTGATTCGACTAAACGGATGAGTTAGGGCTTTGACTGAGCTTATTAGGGGTGGGGGCGGGTCGGTTCGGTTCGGTTCTCTTTAGAACCGAATCGAACCAAACTTTTCGGGTATCTAGTAAATGGAACCGTCGGGTCCAAATATAATTATGGAACCGTTCGGGTTCGGTTCCATTCGGTTCGGTTCAGTTCCGTTCGGTTCTGTACTATAATTAAATTTTTTAACATTTATAACAACGTTATATAAATACGACTAATGATACATTCAATGGTTTTGAAATGTCAGAGATTAGTAAACTACATTGTTCAAATGATCGCTACGATCAAAGTTTCAGTCGGCGAAAGTCACGGCTTCGATCGGAGGTCAGAGTGTCGGCCGACAATTGTATAGTTTTGGAATATTAGCCAGGCTGCGAGAGTGAGTGTGAGAGTCGAGACAACGTTATGTACTTTATTGTAGGTGTTTAGGGTTATTTAGTGGATTTGATCTTGTTTGGCTAAGAAATGAAATAATAAAATGGGTAATTGGGTCAAAAATTAAAAAATTAAAAATGAAACAAATTATTGGGCCAAAAATTTGGATTTAGAAATCATTAATTCGTTAATTTGTTTAGAAAAAATTAAAATTAAAATAATTTGATTTACTCAATATAAAAAAAAAAATTAGAAAGATTCGGTTCTTGGTTTAGAACCGAGAACCGAATCGTACCCGTCAGTTCTCAATTCAGATACCCGTTCAAGTATTTAATTTGATAAGAACCGTCGGATTCGAATCGGTTCGGTTCAGATTCGGTTCGATCGGTTCGGTTTGGGAGATTTGCCCAGCCCTAGAGCTTATAATCCTTCTTTATTGAAGAAAGATGGACAAATACAGCATAACTTGAGAATTGAGACAATGTGGTACTTCGTTTTAGGGTTGATTATTGGGATAAAAGTGAAATAAAAAAACTCATAATATGATAATAATAATCCGTCCGATGATTCTTGGCGTGCCATTCCTGAAATGTCAGTTTTGGGAGGCCCTCTATTTGTTTGATCTCTTTTGTCTCTGCTTTCACAAAATCCCCCTCTCTCAAAATTATTTGGATTTTGTTATTTGTTTTCGGATGCCCATTGGCTATAATAATTTATTTGGATTTTATATAATAATTACAAATATTTGTTTTCGGGTGCCCATTGGCTACAATAATTTTCCGTGAATTTCTGATTTCCCCTGAGAATTGGAAAAAAGAATTGATTTTGACTTTTTACAAGTTTTCTACTTGAGAATGATGGTATGAATCGAAATTAGATTCGCTTTACTCACCGCACTGATTCACAGTATCACTTCCCTTCACATCAAATGGCATCCTGCGCTACTTCACTCTCTCTCTCACCAATCTTAAAGGACTCTATCTTTAAAGGTTGTCAGGTTGAACCCCAACCTTTAGGGTTAAAGGACTCTATCTTTCATGCGATGTTCATTGGTGCTTCTCTATTTCGACTAATACCTGCTCGACACAAGTGATAGATAATTCTTACTTCACTTGAAATCGTACAGAAATTCAACACAATTGTTGGTACTGGACAAAACTCCTAAATTGAACAGAGTGATTTTTTAAGTCAAATATTCGAACGGGATTTAAATCGAGAATCAACAAGTTTGATTCAATTCTCGCATCTAGATCAAGAACCGAATTTTTCTAATTAATTTATTTTAAATAAGTCAAATTATTTTATTATTTCTAAATAAATTTGCTAAATAGTTAATTTAGCTCAAACCCAAAAATATGATTTTTCTTATTTCTAATTTTTAGTACAAAGTCATCTTAATCAAATTGACTTAAGTTTTATCCAAATCCATTACTTTACCGCAGTATCGTTTCTACCGTTCTGGGAAATTGAAATGAAACTCGACAATGTCTTTCTTAATTATTGTGAGTTTGCTATCTTCCTCTTCCTGTGATTTTAACAATCATTTTATGAAGAACTTAGTAAAAAGAGACGCATTTGACACAAGATTAGAATATGTTATTTTGTAAGAGTTAAGATTGAACATATCATTAGTTGAATTAATGTAACTTTATAAATATTAAAAAATTTAATTATAATACGGAACTTGAAAATCGAATGGAATCGAACCTGAACGGCTACATAATTTAATTTGGACCCGAAGATTCCACTTACTAAGTACCCGAAAATTTCAAGTCCGATTCGATTCTCGTCAGAATCGAACCAACCGAACTGAATCACGTCCAACCCTAATAATTGTTATGAGTTCGATTCGAGCTTGTGCATGTCTAAGCAAAATTCATGCTAAATCTAGTGTACTTTTCTCGAACCAATTTTGAATCGTTAATTTATTTATTTTTATCTACGAGCCGTGTTGACATGCAAGCCTCGCAACTATCGTTCCGAAATAGTATTCATCTTTTTATCTAGGAGACGTAAAAAGTGGTACTAACTACTAACAAAAAAGAAAACCTTACATTTTTAAATCATCTTCAAAAAACTTTTTAAATATAAAATTGTCTTTATTTGAAAAAGTCAATACTCAAAAATTATGCTCCAAAAGATTCTTTAAATTAACATTTTAATTTAGAGATACATTCAAAGCATTTCAATCTTCAATGGACAAAAATATTATAATAATTTGAAGGGAAGCTAGTAAAAATAAAAAATAGAAAAATACATTTTTTTTTGGAGCAGTAATATTAAGGGTGTATTTGATTGCGATTGTGAAATTTACATGGAAAGAAAATAAATTTCACATGAAAATTGTCAATCAAATGTTTTTGATTGATTTTATTTTCAACTTAGAAAATGTCATACTTGTCCATTTTTTTATTGGTGGATAAATGAGAGAATAGATAGATGAGAGAAAAAGAGAGAATGAATTATCTGAAAAATAAAAACCAAATCCTTTTAAAGAAAGCATTTTCCTTATTTTCAAGGAAAACATGCTTATAACTCACGTGACCAAAATTAGAAAAATATTTTATTATATATATATATATATATATCAACGGCATAAAAATAAGAATTTAAATAAAAAAATAACATTTTTCATAAAAATATTAGTAATTAAACGTACTTTAAGGGTTTGATTGCGAAAATGAAATTTGGGTGGAAAGAAAATGAATTCCAGGGAATTGAATTACCTAAAAATTATTTTTCAGTGAATTGTAAATTATTGTGTTTGATTGGTATAATTTTCTACGTGAAAAATGTTGAAGTAAAAGTGTTTTTTGGTGTTCCTTTAGCTTTGTTTTACATGAAAATTGTCAATTTAAGGGATATCCGCTTCTAGCATTGTTCCTAGAATTTGATCCCATTGCCAACCAAAAAAAAAAAGATAAAAAAATCACCTATGTTTTAATGTTCGTTTAACTTTGTTTTACATGAAAATTGTCAATTTAAGGGATATCCACTTCTACCATTGTTCCTAGAATTTGTTCCCATTGCCAACCAAAAAAAAAAGGAAAAAAAAAAGATAAAAAAATCACCTATATTTTGGTATTCGTTTGGCTTTGTTTTACATGAAAATTGTCAATTTCAGGGATATCCTCTTTTACAATTGTTCCTAGAATTTGTTCTCATTGTCAACAATTAAAAAAAAAGGACAAAAAGCAAAAAAAAATAAAAAATGTGAAAAACCAAAAACCACCTATCCCCTAGTAAAATAAAAGGTGGAAAATCACGCTTTAAGGTGTTGTACCTAGAAATTCATGGAAAATCAATTCCCTGAAAATTTTTGTCAATCAAACAGGCTAAAAATGGAAGTTGGAATTCGAATTCCAAGTTTCATGGAAAATTTCGTACAATCAAACAGAGCCTAAGTGTTAAATATAAAGAGTTTCTTGGAGTTCTTAACAAATTTTAATCTCTAAATTTATAGATATTCTTTAAATTGTAGAATATATTCTTTAAAAATAGAAAATCTCTTGAAAATGCTCCATTTTTAGTGCTATTCAGGTCAATTTCCCCAAATTGTGCAATTTCAAGCTTTGCCCTTCTAAGGGAAGAGACCAGAGACCACCAGGGCATGAAGTTAAGGTCAGGTCTATTACTGCCCCTTAGATCAAGCCCAATCCCTAAATCCAAAGAGGTATCGATTATTGGAACGTGCAGTCTCCAAACTCTTAATAAGAGAGCACAACTACGCAGAAAACACTAAAGGCCATTTCACGTATTCGTTAAATATACGAAGACAGTATTGATGAGGTTATAGCAAAGCTGATGCTTTCGATATAAAATTTCAGCACTCCAGTAAAAAGCAAACATGAATTCTGTACAAACGATAAGGCCGAGTACATATATAAAAATGATAAGGGTATGATATGCCCACCGGCTTTTATTATGCCATTGATATGATGCAACTCGCCAATTCATGTACGGAAATCAGGAGATTTAACTGGCGCTGTTCTTCCTTGCAGCATAGGCTCGGTATGCTGCCATTCCAACAAAAGCAGTTGCCGCTCCAACTGCAATTTTTTGTTGAATGAGAATCATAGCATGCAATTTTTCATTGAAGAGTAAAAAGGTAAAAAGGGTCATATGCAATGCAAAATCATATTGAATGTCAAGTTCCCTCTATTTTTATGTAGATCTACGTGCATGCACACACTTGACTAAGGTTTAAGAAGCTGGCATTTTTATTGTTTACAGTTTCAGGCAAGGACGGCACAAATTACATTAAAGGTGCCAACTAGGCCACACACAATAAGCTACAACATAAATGATCAAAGACATATTATAGAACTTTGATATATGTCGGACGAGATCCCTTTCACAACACCCAATTCACTAAATTCACTACAATGTCCTTGGAAATCAGTCCTATTTAATGCCAAAAAGCTCAGATAAATATCACTGTGTATATAAAGATACCTGAAACAAATATAAGAGAACGACTAATGAGCTGGCGGTACCACTTCCGATTGCGACCAGCATCAGTTTCTGGAACACTTAAATGGGGGTTCTCAGCCGCGTTCAAAAGTTTAGAGAAAACGTTGTTAAGATCTCTTTCTTTCACGCTTACATGAATAGGTTCATCAATTCCAATACCTTGGCAAATCTAGATCATAAATGCACAAAGTTATCTCAAGTTCATAAATGCAAAAATGAATTGAAAAAGCACATTTCTTCACAATTTTCTAAGTGGCGCCATGATAGAACCCCAGATGCTGCAGAACAGCTGTGGTGAAATGCTGTCATCAGAAGAATGAAATAGTTTATTGATGGACTCAAGCTCAGGGCTATTGGAGAGGCCTGTCTCTCCCCACTCTTTCTAACTGAAAGTCAGTACATGAAACCGCATTGTTAAGATTAGGACGAACACAACGAAAAAAAAAAAAAGGATTAACACCAAGAACAACCTCTGGTTCTAAGATGAATTCCCCTTCACCCGTTAGCTGGGGTGGAAGTGACGAGATCAGCTGCATGTTCCCCACGGCCTTACGGAGTAGTAAGATATGGAAAATCGGATGAATGGCTGCTGTAGAGGGCAGTTTCAACTTGTACGCTACCTGTCCGGTCTTCGATTCCACCTGAAACAGTCCATAGTACCTACGAGACAGCTTCTCAAATGATCTTTTAGCAATAGACTTCTGGCGATAGGGACGAAGCTTGAGATAGACTAAGTCCCCCACAACAAATTGGAAATCACGGTGGTGTTTATCTGCACTCTCCTTCATCCTTTGTTAAGACCTAGTAAGTTGTGTACCCTTAGTTCTTTCAAGGCCTCATCACGGTCTAACAAAAGCTGTTCCCCAGCGGAACTGGCTATCACGCCCTTCCCCAACGGTAGTATCTGAGGTGGCTCATGGCCATACACAATCTAAAAAGGAGTATGCTTGGTTGCTGTATGAAAGAAAGTATTATACCAAAACTCGGCCCAATGTAGATACTAGATACTGGCTCCAAACCCGTGGCCTGCGCAACGCAAAACATCGCAAGTTTCTAAGCACCTGTTTACAACCTCCGTTAGGCCATCAGTTTGCGGACGATAAGAGGTGCTGTGTTTGAGGGCGGTTCTCTGTGCTTTAAATGTACTCATAAAAATTCTACCCCTATTGCAAAAAATGGAGTGAGGCATGCCGTACAGGCGAACTACCTCCCGTATGAACGCCTCAGCAACCATGGGGGTGGTGAAAGGGTGTTTTAGACCAATGAAATGCCCATATTTACTCAGACTGTCCACAACGACCAAAATAGTATCAACACCTGCAGATAAAGGAAGTCCCTCAATGAAATCCATTGAGACATCCTCCCAAACACGTTCGGGAATCGGCAAGAGCTGTAAGAAACCTCCAAGGGATAACGCTATATACTTGTTCTATTGGCAAACCCTGCACTCAGCCACATGGTACCTCACATTTTTCTTAATCCCCTGCTAATATACCGCCTTGGTGACACGTTTGTATTTCTTAAGAAATCCTGAATGCCCACCTATCTTAGCATCATGGCATTCCTGCAACATGAGGGTGACAATAGGCGAATGGCTAGGCAATACTATCTTTCCATGATAACATAAGATGCCATGGATCAATGCATACCCTAAGTTCACATTGACTCCCTCCTGTAACTCCGATACTACTTTGCCCATTACTTCATCAGCTACTACCTCCTTAATCTCCCATAGCTGGAGGACCTCAGAAGTGGTTAAGACCAAAACATTTACTGATGGTTGCATTCTGGCCCTAAGTTCACATTGACTCCCTCCTGTAACTCCGATACTACTTTGCCCATTACTTCATCAGCTACTACCTCCTTAATCTCCCATATCTGGAGGACCTCAGAAGTGGTTAAGACCAAAACATTTACTGATGGTTGCATTCTGGAAAGAGCATCTGCTGCTTTGTTCTCCAGCCCTGGACGGTATTGGATATCGAATTGGTATCCCATAAGTTTAGTAAGCCATTTTTGGTGGTCTTTACTTACCAAGTGTTGCTCCGATAAGAACTTCAGACTCCGCTGATCCTTTCTAACTGCAAAGTGCCTGCCCAACAAGTAGTGACGCTACTTTTAGATGGCAAACACAAAGGCCATTAACTCTCTCTCATAACACGAATTTTGTTGAATACTCTCAGGTAGAACTTGCTGAAATAAGCAATAGGATGACTATCCTGCATTAACACTGCCCCTAAGCCCCGACCGGATGCATCTATTTTAACCACGAACTGTTTAGAAAAACCAGGTAGTGTGAGCACTGGGACACTGACCATAGCTGATTTGAGGTCCTGACAGGCTGCCTCCGTTTTATCATCCTACCTGAAACGATCTTTCTCGAGCAGCTCAGTTAAGGGCCAGGCCACTTTGGCATAGCATGACACGAATAGCCTGCAGTAGCCCTTGAGCCCCAAAAATCCCCAAAGCTGCTTGAGGTTGAATCAGCCAATCAGCCATTACCACAATTTTTGACTGATCGGTTGCCACCCCTTTCTCAAAATTCACATGGCCAAGATACTCAACTTTCTTTCGTCCAAACTTCTCATTGGCATACAACTGATGTTCCTGCAAAATCCCTAGCACCGTGTCCAAGTGTTGTAGGTGCTCCTCCACCGATGGCTTGTGGACCAAAATGTCATCAAAGAAAACAAGGACAAACTTCCGCAAGTAAGGTTGAAATACCTCGTTCATCAGATGTTGAAAAGTTACTGGTATGTTTTATAACCTAAAAGGTATAAAAAAGAATTCAAATTGCCCCTCGTGAGTGCAAAAGGCATTATTGGGTATGTCTTCCGGTCTCACTATGATTTGGTGATAGTCCAACTTTGAGAATTCATGAGCCCCATGTAATTCATCCAATAATTCATTGATTACTGGATAGGAAAACAGTCAGGCACTGTAAACATTTTAAGTGCCCGATAATCGACACAAAACCTCCAACTACCATTCTTTTTCTTCACCAACAAGACCGGACTTAAGAATGGACAGAGACTTGGATGTATGATCCTTGCAGCCAACATGTCCTTAATCAACTTCTCAATTTCATTCTTTTGTACATATGAGTATTAGTAGGGCCTTACATTCATCAGAGCTTATCGGGCTGTAAGAAAATAGTATGGTTCTGTGTTTTTAATGGCAGAAGTCCACTGGGACATCCAAAAACCTTGTGGTGTTGTAACAACTCTTTAATAGAGCCGCGTACTTCCGCCACGGGTTCCCCAAGCTTCCTAATTCCAACAAAATTTCTTGCTCCCCATCTGTAAAAGTCTTAACCGATGACTTCAATGTCACTTGAGTTTTATCCAAGCTAGGATCGCCTTGCAACACAATGGTTTCTCCTCCAACCTTAATATGCATAGTAAGTGTGCCCCAGTTCAATTCCATCCTCCCCAAAGTCTCCAAACACTTCATTCCAAGAATTACGTCTGTGCAGCCTAACTTCAGAGGTAAGAAGTCCTCAACCACATCAATATTAGGTAACCAAACCACAATTCCCTTACAAATGCGACCCCCCTCACTGATATCCCAGTACCTATGATAACCCCATAACTTGCCGACTCCATGACCTGCAACCCCAAGTTCTAGACTAGCTTATTTGAAATGAAGTTGTGTGTAGCTCCACAATCAATGAGGACTATTACTGCTTTCCCAAAATCGTTCTCCCTAACTTCATGGTTTTAGGTGCAGTCAACCCTACCACATATTTTATTTACAACTCTACTGTATCACCTACTGGGTCTTCAACCCCCTCCTCCAGAACCTCCACTGGTTCCTCACACTCCTCCTACACCAATAGCACCTGCAACTCCATATTTTTACATTAAGGCAGATTGGAGTCCGTCAACCACTTGCAAGGCTGAGCCTTAGTAATCGACGCCGATCGTTGAGTCGCGACACCTGCCATCGGAGCTTGTAGGCCAATTTGCAAAGTCAGGGTCGTTCCTCTTGGGGATATACTCGCATAGTTTGGGCTGGTCCCCACTGGGCTAGAAAAAGATGGGGTATAATCAAAAGTCCTTAACCTAGTTGGGCTGCCTAAGGCTTTAGCTCGCTTAAGGCACTCGTGGTGGTCTTCCACCCTTTGGGCTAGTTCCATGATCTAGCTCAATCCTTGTGGCCTATGCATTCTCACCTCTGTCGTGATCGCTGGACTTAGCCCTTTTATAAAATGATAGACCCCCCATCACATGCACATATTCTAGAAGGCCCAAGAAGGTGGAGGGAGCAAATGAGCGGGAACTACCAACCGAACTAGTTACATAAACAGAAAATTGTTGCATGAGGTCTATAAATAAGATGGTGAGGAGTAATAGTAGGCATCAGAAAGGAAGAAGGGTAGTAGTCGTGCATTTTCAGTCTTCTGTAGGCTTTCTTTTCATTTCATAATCTGTAATCCGGTCTTTGGTTTCAATAAAGAAGTTGTTGAGCTTGTTCTTTCCCATGGAACTCTATCATAAAATTCCCCTCCAACACTGTCTCTGGAATTGCTGGCATAAGAGCAGCTAGGAATTCGAGCCAACGATGATAGTCCCTCACGGTCCTATCCTATTTCAAGGCCAAAAACTCCTCCAATACGCTACCCTCTTGTGATGGCCAAAACCCCTCTAGCAACAAAAGTTTCAAATATTCCCCAAGAGTCAATGGCTATCATCCATTTTCCCATTAATATCAGGCTAATGCTTCACCCTCAAAACAGACTACAGTGGCCTCAATCTTCTCCCAATTTGGTTGATATTGAAGTATCTCTCCAGCTCTAAAGATCGAAGCACCCAATCCTTCACCGTTAAATACCGGCATCTCCGAACGTTGTCACGGCACACCCATCCCTCTGTTCCTTCGCCAAACCTTGGGTTCTGATTGGAACATCTGAATTCATAGTATGCTCCGGTGTGACGGATGAATTTCCCTTCTCCTTCCTATCCCTTTCTTGCTCGCCCCACTTCATCATCACGAAGTCGAGTTTCTCCATTATTACAGCCATGTCTCTTTGAGTCTCATATTTCATTACCTCCATCATTTCCTGTAACCCGTTGAACCTCGACTCCAATAGTGTCACATAATCCATAATTGTCAAATTCCTAGTGATGATACTTTGATACCAGATTGATAGAACCCCAGATGCTGCAGAACAATTGTGGTGAAATGCAGTTATCAGAAGAATGAAATAGTTTATTGGACTCGGACGAAGTGACCGGAATGAATACAAGCTCAAGGCTGTTGGAGAGGCCCTATCTCCCCCCCCCTCCCCCCCCCCTTCTAACTGAAAGTCAGTACATGAATGAATTCCCCGCCCCTTTCCCCAAACATTTATTTGCATTTCCTACAACAAACTCTTACACTCTTAACCCCCTTTCTAACTAACTCAGCTAACTTGGCAGGACCTTTGGAATCATTGCCCTTCTTCCTTCTTGTATAGATGAACTGGATGAGGGGCCTATCAGGCAGTGGTCCCAGGTAAACACTAAACACTTCCAAGTCCCATTTCATGAGTAAGAAAGTAGGGTAGCTAGCAACTTTGTACCTTTGCTGACTCTTCCATAGCCGTTGGATAAGAATCAAGATCATGCTTTGCTGCAACTAGGAGACAAGGCATGCTAAAACCAGTTTCCTCCCCTTGCTTAGTGACATCCAAAAGCAACTCTGATGCTCTTCTTAGAGAATATTTGCTTGAACTGAAAAAGAAAATTGAATTTGACATGACCTTGTGCGGTCGAGGATAATTCCCCCAAAATACAGGTTTGATAAAATTCTATCAAAACACTAGCATTCATGTAATGTAGGGTGACTATTTAATCCCATTTCATTTTACAGGGCTGCGGGATGGGAAGTGGTCAAATTACCAAGTGTCACAGCTAAACAATATTCAAAGCTGAGAAGTAAATTTGCGGTTTGCTATGAATTGTGACATAGCATGCTCACCTGTCATAAACAAAAATTGCTACATCGCAAACAGCCAAGGATTCCTTATTTGATAGAAGTTTCTTAACTCCGTCTTCTGGAATCTCCCGAAGTACAAGAGTTTTCTTTTTACCCTGCTTCAGAAGAGGTAGATTATTGCATCAAAAACATCATAAACACAAGTCATACAGTTTAAATGTTAAGGAATGCAAGCCATATTCACATTTTCATGAACCAACCCACCCATAGATAAAGTTGGTGAGAGGAAGAGAGCAATAGATTGTATCCATCTAGTCATGGACATGGCGATTTGCAACTAATACTCACCGCATGCTGTTCAACCACATTCACAACATATTGTTCGCTGGTTGTTGGAACATAATTGTCAGAAAAGGGTCTGTTTTCAGAAGAAACAATAACAAATTTTCAGGATTTGCCTTAATGGGAATAAATAAAGCAGAAAAAACACGAAGAAATATAGTTTACTTAGAACATGGAGTCCGTGCTGCGTGTTGTCTTGATATGAAAATAAATACTATTACTAATTGAACTGGAAGTATCAAGAAGTTTACACAAATACAACTAAAAAATCATTTTTACTCTGATAAACTTGTATATGTGGAGAAATAGATTGAGTGCTACACCTTCCCAACAATGACATCAATAATGCAGACTTCCCAGCCTTTTTAGGTCCAAAAACAAAGCACTGGAAAACATCGCGTTCTGTTTGTTGCCTTTTCCTGTCTATTGATCTTCTCCTAGTGATATTGAGGGCTGATGCAGCATTGCAGTTGTAACCAATGTATATTAAGTTGGCAAGACTTTTAACTGGGTCAAGTAATGTCATCAGAGCCCACTGCAATACAAATTCTACATTGTGAATAGCAACAAAAAGTTCAAATCCATAAGAATGTCTTTCCAAAAGAACAATATCCGTGGAGTATAGTTGAAGCTAATGTCTCCATTCAGCAAATAAGTGGAAAGACACAAACAATAGAAAATATTCACAAACATTTATAACCCATCATGTTAAAGACTGTAATAATACAAGTACATCTACAAGTGCAACTTATCATTAGTTCCATGCTAACTACATCACAAGAGTGACATATAAGAACTAAAATGTCCACTTCTCTATTTAGAGATAAATAAAACTTCGATTGGTCTGCCTGCTAAGAGAAACAAGCATCAGAAGTTCCAACAGATCAATATATCAAACGACTATATTCTCTCCCTCCAAATCAAATTGTTGTGTATAAAACTTCAAGTGCTAGATATCAGCAAAATTATCAAAATCGCGATCCTGATAGTGATTTTTTAAAATGCAAGAAATTGGGCTAGGGCATTGTACTTATTTATTTCACTTCAGAGGCTGGTTTCTTTTGAATATGTAACATAATAGAGGTTAAGTCCAAAAAGCAGAAAGAAAAAATAGAGAAAGTCAAACAAAAAATGTAAAATCCCTAACTCAAATCCCAGCGATTCAGCATTCTAGTCTCACACTCTTGCCTCTAACAGAAGTTCATCTCTCCAATTTGACCCAAAAACAAAAATAAATAAAATAAAATATTATAATAATAATAAATATGATGATGTGGACTCTTATAAGTAGTAGACAATTTGTTTTTATTCGTTGTTTTTAGTTAATTATGGAATTGTAGTTGATAATTTTTTTCTTAGAAATTTTTTATATTTTTTTAATATCCAATGATCATCATTTAGTAGGATCTATGACCCTCGATCCAATCCGCAAGTCCATTCCATCGATCCAAGTCAATTCTATGATCCTCACAACCTTGCCCTATCATAATAAATAGATGTTAAAAGGCATTTGCCAAAGACATACAACACGCTGTGTCAAAGCAGATAGCTCTCCTTTGGCAGTGCAATGAGCGAATAGTGTACCCACCTCTGAGAGGAACCCAGAGAGAGATAACCCTCCCAGTGGAGTTCTCTGAACTGCATCCTTATAAGGAGCTTCATCCCAGGGACTGAAATTTATATCAAAAAGACTCAGTCAAAAATAAAATATAGAAAGGTCATTAAAATATGTAACAATGATTCATGTCCAAATCCGTAAGTGAACATAAGATAATAATAAGAAACACAGAGTAACAAGTGACTTGCAGACCCAACATCCAATATTTTATAAATCCCAAGCATATTGAATGCATTCAGTGAACTCTTATTTTAACACACTCATTCTCTTACAAACTTGGCAAAATTGATTGTGCCCATGCAGTTGAATTGACTTTCATTCAGGGAAAATAGTCATCTAGATTCGTTTATTCTTATATCACTAATTCCAGCATGCATGCAAACATTTTGTAGAAAAGTCCATTCAAATGATAGGTGTAACTTGTAAGCAATTACCAGCCTACTGGCACACAACTGAACTGGACAAATAATAGAATAATTCTAAGAGATGTCTCTTTCTGGTAGAATCGATAATTACAAAGGTCTATAGAGCTGAAAGTTGGCTCCCAAAGTAAATATATTTATGCGACCCAATAATAAGAAGAAGAAGAACAACAACGACAAGGTAATTCTTATTCCCTATAAACATGAGGTCAAATCATGATCCCCTTTCACAACTGAATCTGATCCAGGATTACATTTACTAAAATGTTGATAGGATCACGTCTTTCGCAACTAAATAAGTTGCTATTAATTTTCTCCCATCTCTTTCTCAATTGAGATAGTTGCAAACTTAAACACAAACCAGGGGGTGAGTAAATGGCGAGAGAGACCAGAATTGAATTTGTTCCCAACTGTGGAAAGTACATAAAGTTCTTCACATCAAATTCAGGAGGAATACAGGGTGTTAATCTCATTTCAGTGAATTAATAATGATGTGTGATAAATTTGACACAAAAATAACATCACATGCAAAGTTGAATATACCTTTCAGGTGCAGTTGAAAATAAATCTTCAAGCTCTGCATTTCGTAGAACATCATCCTGTAAAAGGATGAAGGTAAAACTAAAAGCAGAATTCTAGGCAAAAATTAGAGCAATGTCCCTGAACTGATAGGACAAAATTTCTTATAAAATATGTACCCAAATGACCAAGTATAGCATCCTAACAAAAACATGGTCAAACTTTCAATAGGTTCTCAATCAAGGAATCGACTGTACAAAAATGCAGACAGCTATGTATTTATCCACTTCAAACAAATTAACTGCAATTTTGTATCCGAGTAAAGAAGGCAACCAATTTCAAGAGAATACAATTAGCATGAGAGTTCCAGGTAAAGTTATATATAATAGCAGAGCAAAAAAAATAATAATAATAATTATTATTATTATAATATGCCTCTTCCAGTATTAATTTCAAACCATATTAAAAATTGCCGTCAATGGGCTAAAAAAAAATATCTGTAAGAAATTAAGAAACAAAATAATTTCCCCTTGTTATTCATAGGAAAGGAACGATACATATATATACATAGTTAGAATTCTATATTAGGAAGATATACAAATTAGGAATCTCTATATATCCCTATAATTAGGCTTTGCCTTATTTACATCTGGTAACTCCTCTCAAGTTGGAGCATAAATATTAATCATGCCCAACAAGTTACAAATACAATCAACCTAAATCCCACCTAAAGCCTTCGTGAAAATATCTCATAATTGTTCTCCAGTCTTCACAAATTATGTAGATATTAAATTCTGCTGCACCTTCTCATGAACGAAATGACAGTCAATCTCAATATACTTAGTTCGTTCATGAAACACAGGATTAGAAGCAATATGAAGAGTGGCTTGATTGTTACACCACAACTTTGCTAGTATTGAAGCCTTAAGACCAACTTCAGTCAAGAGCTAATATATCCACATTATCTCACATACAGACTGTCATAGCTCTATATTCTGATTCTGCATTGGATCGGGACACAACATTTTGCCTTTTACTTTTCCATGAGACCAAATTTCCTCCAACAAAAACACAGTGGCCAGTAATAGATTTTCGGTCAATCTTGAAACCTACCCAATCTACATTTGAAAAGCATTCGATGTGAGTGTGTCCATAATTTTTGTAGTATCCCCGTCCAGGAGCTCTCTTTAAATAACAAAAGATCTGTTCTAAAGCTACCTAGTGATGAACTGCTGGAGAAGACATGAATTGGCTTACAACACTGACAAGATACACAATATCAAGACGTGTTACTGTAGGATAGTTCAATTTTTCAACCAATCTTCTATACTTTTCAAGGTCTTCAAATAGGTAACCATCTTTGGTAAGTTGCAAATCAGAAGGCGTTGGAGCACTGCTTGGCTTAGCTCCCAACTATCTTGTCTCAGTTAACAAGTCAAGTACATTTTTTTTTGAGATAAGAATATGTCTTTCTTGCTTCATGTCACCTCAACTCCTCTAAATCTTTCGTGAGAAATTAGGCGTGAAGAAAGGACTTTAGAGATGAAATTCCAATATTATTACTGCCCGTAATAACAATATCATCAATATACACAAGGAGAATAATGTCGAATTCGGACTGTTTGTAGAAGACTGAGTGATCAGACTTGCTCTTTTGCATTCCAAACTTTTTCATAGCGTGACTAAATTTTCCAAACCAAGCACATGGACTTTGTTTCAAACCATATAAAGACTTTTGAAGATGACACACTTTCCCACACTCCCCCTGAGCAACAAACAGGGTTGCTCCATATAAACTTTCCCCTTAAGATCACCATGTAAGAAAGCGTTTTTGATGTCTTGTTGATGTAAAGGCCAATTATGAGTAGTTGTCATAGAAATGAATAAGCGAACAGATGTTAATTTAGCTACAGGAGAGAAAATGTCAGAATAATCTACACTGTAAGTCTGACAATAGCCTTTAGCTACAAGAAGAACTTTAAGCCTAGTTACTGATCCATCAGGATTAAATTTGACTGCAAACACCCACTTACAAGTTACATCCAATAACATTTTTCCTACAAGTAAATTCTCTAAATCCCAAGTACCATTAGCATCTAAAGCGTTAATCTCCTCTATCATAGCATCACGCCAACCAGTATGGGATAAGGCTTCATGAACAGTTATCGGAAGAGTCACAGATCTATGAAGGCAACAAAATAACAAGAAGAAGAGGACAAGTGATTATAAGAAACAAAGATTAAATAGGATAAGTACATTGTCATTTACCTTTGCGAAGAGCGATATGTAGATCAAGATCAATGGACAATGGATCCGATGCCGAAGGAGAGTTATGTGCCGAACATGTATCAGGAGGGTTTTGTCGTCTGGACTATGCCTAGTGAATAGGTGGTGATGGTGTAGGAGCAACAAGTGTGGAAGCAACATTATTTGGCTAGTAGCAGATCATCATCCTCCCCCTTACCGGAAGAAGTATAAGAAGTGGGAAATAAAGGAAAATATTCTAGAAAGGTGACATCAGCTAACATAAGATACTTGTTAAGACTCGAACAATAGCATCGGTACCCTTTTTTGTAGACAAGAGTAACCTAAAAAAACACATTTTAAGGATTTGAAATCTAATTTAATTACATGAGGACGAACATCATGAGCATAACAAGTACTACACAATATTCTAGGTTCAATGGGAAACAACAGTTTAGTGGGAAAAAGAACACTAAGGAGTCTAACCTTGAAGAAGAGATGAAGGCATTCGATTAATTAAGAAATAGGCTGTGGAGACTGCATCAGCCCAAAAATGTTTAGCAACATGCATTTGGAACAAGGGTGCCCTAATTGTCCCAAGAAGAGGTCTATTTTTTTTTTTCAACCACACCATTCTGAGAGGGTATGTCAACACAGGAGGATTGATGAAGAATACCATTCTAAAACATGAAAGTGTGGAAAGAATCGGAAAAATATTCTTTGTTATTATCACTTCACAATATATGTACTGAAACATTAAACTTCGTTTTAATTTGAACACAAAAGACACTAAAATGATAAAATAATTCAAACCGATTCTTCATTAAATAAAGTCAAGTCACACAAGAAAAATCATCAACAAAGGTAACAAAATACTGAAATTCAGTTTTGGATGCAACAGGACAAGGATCCCAAACATTGAATGAACTAACTCAAAAGAAAAACTGGCTCTTTTATTGACTCAATGAACTAAGGACAGACGATGTTTTGCAAACTGACATGACTCACAATTTAAGGATGATACATTCTGAAATTGATGATATAATTTCTTCAACAACGATAAAGATGAATGTCCCAATCGACAATGAACTTCAAAAGGAGTTAAGACACTTGAACACCTAATGGACTTGGGCACCTGGTTATCCAGAATATAGAAACCGCCTAATTCACGTCATTTACCAATAATCTTCTTCGTCATAGATCCTGAAAAGACAGTAATTAGGAAGAAATGAGACAACAATTAAGGTTCAAGTAAGTTTGCTCACAGACATTAAACTGAAGAAAAATTGTGGTAGACTCAAGACAAAAGATAAGGAAATTAATGTGATTGGATTAATAGTGCCAGAATCGAGAATAGAAGAAGTAGAACCATCAACTAAAATAACATTGGACGGAAATGTATGAAATTGAAAAGTGGAGAAGAAACTAGGATTACCTGTCATATAATCATGGCACCAGAATCAATGACCCATTTTGAGGAAAATGAGAGAAGACATGTATTAGGTTTACCTGTCTCAGTAATGACAGAGATAGGGTGAGATGAATTCTTCAATGCTTCTTAGCACTAAGTGAATTTGACAAATCCATCTGCATAAACTGTAATGATCTGCTCAGAAGATGAGATGGGTGTAGTAGTAGTTACGATATGAGCTCGGTAAGACTTCTAAGATTTATTGTGTAATTTTCAACACGAGTATTTGGTATGACCCGACTCATGATAGCAGTAGCATACAACTCGCCCCTCATTTTGACTTCGATTAACTTGATTACCTGTACCCCACCTCCTGTATTACCTCTACTATTGCGACCAATAAGAGTACTAGAAAGCTGAGCAGGTGAAGCAATAGAAGCACTAGTATTTGTGCGAAGTAATATAGTAAAGGTTTCTTGCAGCGATGAAATCTCAGCACGCGAGATAATCTGGGATTTAGCAGTTTCAAACTAAGGACTAAGGCTAGCTAGAAAACTTATCATAGCCATTGCTCTCACTGAACTTGCTAAACTTTCATATCCGGACTAAAAGGTAAAAAAAACATTTAGGCCGTGGTTGGTTTGCCCGTTTTCGGCCCATTTTCCGTTTTCCATTTTCGAAAACGTGAAAAACGCGTTTGGTCCGTCGTTGTCGAAAACGCATTTTCGAAAACGAGTTAAAATTTATAACTGAAAACGCAAAACGACTTTTTATCGTTTTCAGTGTTTTCAGTTATAAATGTTGAAAACGCTCAAAACACGAAAAAGGGCCGTTTTCGGAAAAAACTAAAAATCGTTTTGAAAATGAAAATGAAAAATGAAAATGAAAAACAATCACTAACTTAGTTCTTCGTAGGTCTTTTTGAAATTCATAAAATAATTTTGAAGAGACTGATCTTGTTGTTTAGCACGGTAAAAACCCTTACAAACTTCATAAATACGTGAAATTTTCCCTTTCCCAGAGAATATAAATTTCAAATATTCCATCAATTCCTTAACATACTTGTAGTGATTAATCAGATTGACTATCTCAGTGTCAATAGAATTATGGATTTATAAGAATAATCGGACATCATCTCGTAGCCATGTTTAACTATTATCCTTTGGTGGATCTTCAGTAAGATGATTATCTATAGAAATACTCCGCAGATAAATTCGAACTGTCTTATACCAATCTAAATAATTTAGACGAACCAACTTATGCTCCGTAATTTTGGACATCACTAGAAACACATCAGTCACAACTAAATTCTTTTGCTCCACCATAGAAATAAACCATAAGATCCAAATAACAAATTAAAACCCAACAAGTAACAGCCCAAATCAATAGGCTCAAAATCAGACAAAATCCAATCAATAGCCCAACTAAAATGAAGAACTAATGAATCAGCCCAACTAAGAATAAATAGAAATTACCTAACAGTAGCCCAGCTTAAAATAGTAGTCGCTGAAACAACTCAAACTCAATAAAACACCAAATAAGCAGTAAAACAACAGTGGCCCAATCTCTTCTCCAAAATCACACGCACACCAAAATCCAAAGCAAACCTAAAGAGACCACGCACTGTTGACGCTGAAATCGATTCCAGAAGCAAAAGAATCATACAAGTTTAACAAAAAATTAGGAACTCAACTGAGAATTGCAAGAGGAAGCATTGAGCAACTTCGCTTGAACCAGAGGCACGCAAGACAAGGACCAAAATTCAAAAAGACACCCAGAAAGAAACACCAGCGATGGGAAGAGGAAAGACAAGCCACAAGCTTTGAGAATCGAAAATTCAGATGCCAAAATCCACAAATGGTGCTGATGACACTGAACGGAGGTCTGGCTACAATTATCACTACCTACCACAGATGACGTAGATTACAAGGAAAGAAGAACTAGCCACTGATGAAGAATCAAGCACGCACGAGTAAGAAAATTTTAGGGCTCTAATACCATGTAAGAAATTAAGAAAGAAAATAATTTCCCATTGTTATTCATATGAAATGAACGATACATATATATACACAATTAGAATTCTATATTAGGAAGATATATAAATTAGGAATCTCTATAAATTCCTATAATAGGCCTTGCCTTATTTACATCCCTTAACAAAATCAATTATAGAAAAGGCAGTATTTATTAATCATCTGCCAGTAAAAGGCAACAGCGTTCGGTCCATTGAACAAAGGGGAACAATAGCCATTACAAGAAGTCCTTAGATATGTCTGTCTTGCAAGTACAATGATCAAATTCCTAAATTTAACGAATTCCAAATAATAGGTTCTGTACCAAACACAAGGTGATTGCTTTTTATAAGCATAACGCATCCGTCATTTTACTAGTTCTTGAAGTAATTGGATTTCGAGGAAAAAAACACTTTTTCCTTTTCGTTTTGAGTCTATTT